TCATAGAGACTATCCATTTGGAGTAATAATAAAGTAACGGATTGAGACGGTTTCCGAATATTGTGTAGAGCCGCCAATGAACTACAAATTCGAAAAGAAAATTAAATTTCTTTTCATCATTCTTAGGCTAAGGAGAAAATGTCACTAAGTGCGCCTTGTCAATCGAACTGATATTTTGCCCATAAATAAGTTCTAATGAAATTTTAGATAATCGAAATACGAAATTTCAACCTGAATATTGCCGATCGATAGTAACCATTGAGTTTCTTTACCTTTCCTCGTGACTAGATATGAGCATAAATGGTGGCTAGGTCCGTACACTTTTTCATTGTGAATGATATCTTTTATGGTTGTGTATTTCCATATTTACTGTTAAAATTTTAATAGTAAAATTAATTCTTTTTTTTTATTTCGTCAACAACAGAATTGTCGAACACATAAACGTGCAGAATAGATGAAGTACCAATGAATTAGAAAAAATGATGAATCTCTGAGAGAAAGGACATTAGAGGTTGTGCAAAACGATTGATACCGTTCATCACTATTTGTGACATATATTTGTTTTTGGATATTCAATATCTCAACAAGACCTACTTATGGGCACAGTCTTAGTTTGAAATTTACTAATTCGATTGTTTCATAAATATCTTACTAGAGGTAAAAAAACTCAGAGATGAATCTTTATAGATTTCTGCTTGTCTTGTCAATACTTAATTCGTACTGAGTAACATGAAAAATGGTTTTTTTTCTAGAGTTATTTTGTTTTCGATATGAATTTATAAAATATCACGATCTTCATGCTAGAGTGCAAGATCTGGTTAGCCGCCTTTGCATGTGTCTAGCCATATATCATCTCAGCTTTATATAGATAAAATAAGAACCGTAAAAAATCAAACAAAAATAAATTCAATTTTGATGTCATTCAAGACGAATTGGTAACTTTTGGCTCATTCTGAGAACCAAAAATGTGACACTCCTCGGAATATTGAGTCCTCCTCTTCCGAAGGACGTATTCATGGTCTCTAAAACTATATTGTTGCTCTCATTTTCTGAATATATGACAGTAAAATTCGACTCTTTGAGGTCTCTTTGCTAAGTTTTTTTTTTCATTTTAAAATTAGTTTCACTTCGAATAACGTAGATTTTTATATTATATCGCTTGCATATTATTATATCTAATAATTTATTTCATCTGAAGATATACTACTGGGCTAGTGTTAAACCTGATTATATTGATCATAAAATTGTAATTTTTATTCTTTATTAAATAATGATTTTGAATATATAATTATCTGTTATATTTGACATATTATTTTTTTTAGTAAGACCACTTCAAGAATATTATATTCTTGCACCCGGTCATATTTATCAAGCTCCTGATGCAGCATCTGTTATTAGTCATCGATTAGTAAATATTCTGTTTTAATGATTTATCTTTTTTTTTTTTTATTCATTTTATTGTTTAGTTAACTGCTGTTCATCATTTTGGCAAAGCTTTTGATGAAGGTAATAATTCATATGTGAACAAAAAAAAAAAAATTGATTTATTTTTCTAGCATCACAAAGAGCTGCTTATCATCCTTCATCAGGTTATTATTGGAAAACGAATAATTCATCTGGTTTGTTTCTTTTTACTTTTTTTTTTTTTGTTTTTTAATTAAAATCTATTCATAAATAATATAGATGAATTAATAAAGAAAGATTCATCGAAAGATAAAGCTTTAACAAATACTCAACGTATTCGTTTTGATACAATATTTCATAATTATCATGAACGTTTTCGACCACGAATACCAGCTGGAACAACAACACAAACTGCAATACCTCCTTCAACAACAAATAATGAAACAACAGCAATTGCTGGTGGAGATACTAATCTTCCACGTATGAAGTTTGAAGAAAAAGAAAAATTTAATTAAACTTTTTTTTTTTTTTTACATCATAGGAAAAGAAGAACGTACACCATCGGATTCACAATCAACTACAAGTGAACGACCTATGATCGAAGTTAAAAAACAAAAAACTCAAAAATAGAACTATTCATGTTTTTTTTCTTTCTGTATTATTGTATATTCAATGTGAAAAAAAAAAGATGTTTAACATGATATTTGGTTATTATTTTTAATAGATACGATATCCATAAATAAGATTGAAGAATAACAAAAGAATAAAATTGAAATGTTTAAAGTTTTAATTTCATTGCAAATTAGACAAATTTATGTTATAGAATAAATGCAAAAATCATTCATTCGAGTCCATGTTTTTTTTTTCTTCAGAATGTTGTTTCTACGAAATTCAGCAGTCTCTAAAAACTTTATACCATTGAAAACAACACGTACTTCAATTTGATCCTTGTTGTCATAAAAAAAATTGGAGCTCGAAAAAAAGAAGTATAGAATTTTGCTGAGGGGGAACTTCTAGCCACTTTGACCTTTATAACCTTCATATTTCTATGACAACGTTTGCTCTACTTATCGAGATTTATCGGCCTTGAACGTTTCATAATTGTTCGCCTAACCGTTTTCAAAAATGGGGCGTCCATTAAGAGAGAATATTTACAAGTTAAGCCATCGAAAGTTTGTCTAAAAATTATTTTTTCATATTTGATTCTAGAATTATTTTTAATATTTTGTCAATGTTTACTAATGTTATCCGACGTTGTTTTGTACCTTGTCTTATTCGACGATCACTTTCAATAGTTTCAAATAATTCTACAGTATCTTCATCACCTATACGTATTTGTGTTATCGGCAGTGGTCCAGCTGGTTTTTATTTAACACAAAATTTACTTAAACTCAGTCAAACAATACCAACAACAATTGATATAATTGAAAAAGCACCTGTACCATTTGGTCTTGTTCGATATGGTGTTGCACCTGATCATCCTGAAGTTAAAAATGTTATAAATACATTTACAAAAATAGCTGAACATGAACGTGTACGTTTTATTGGAAATATTCATATTGGTAAAACGATTGGATTAAAAGAATTACAAGAATTTTATCATATTATTGTTCTTGCTTATGGTTCATCTGTTGAACGTAATTTACATATTCCTGGTGAGACAACATTAGAAAATGTTTTTTCTGCTAAAGATTTTGTTGGATGGTATAATGGTAAGATGCAAAAAAAAAAACACAAAATATTTTTTTTTAAAATTCATTATAAAAAAAAAAAAAATGAAAAATATTTTTCAAATAGGTGTACCAGACAATGCTCAACTTCGACCACAACTTAATCATACAGATCAAGCTATTATTATAGGAATGGGAAATGTAGCACTTGATTGTGCTCGAATGCTTCTTTCATCTATTGATGATTTAGCTAAAACAGATATTACTGATATAGCACTTGATACACTTCGTCAAAGTCGAATACGACATGTAATACTTGTTGCTCGACGTGGACCTATGCAAGTATCATTTACTATAAAAGAACTTCGTGAACTTACTAAATTAAATGGTGTACAATCAATGTTAAATAAAGAAGATTTTAATCAAATTGATCAAATTATGATTGATAAATTAGAACGACCAAGAAAAAGATTAACTGAATTAATGTTAAAAACAGCTCGAACAAGTTTGTTTGTCTTTTTTTTTTGAAATTTATTACTATGTCTTAAGAAAACTATTTTTATCTATAGAACAATCACAAAATAATGCTGAACGATTTTGGTATTTAAAATTTTGGCGTCGTCCAAAACAATTAAATGGAAAAACACTGGTTGAAAGTGTTGATTTCGAACATACAGAATCGGTAGCTAATGGTGATTTTTCTGATCCAAATCTATCCGTTCAACCAAATGGAACTATAGAAACAATACCATGTGGTCTTGTCATTAAAAGTATTGGTTATTATGGCGTCCAGGTAAGAATTAAGAGAATTATTTTTTTCTTATTCAGTTCGAGTATAGAAATATGTTATCATCGAACATGTGGCAGAGTGAGTATAGACATGAGCAAGATAGTTTCGTTCATGTCTAGAGAAATCATCATGTATATGAGAGTTAGTACATTCGAACCTAGCTGCCATCCTTCTATGTACTACTCTTAGATCATTTGTCGGTAATAATATCGAACTTATGAAATTAGTTTTCCTCAGATTCTATACGGATAAAGATAACCAAGAAGTTTAAGTATAATGCTTCTACAGGAAGTATTCCATACATTATAGGATATTCGACTCTAATGAAGCTAAAATGGTAAGTGGTATATTTTAGTTTTTACTGTAAATTATTCGAGAATATGTAGTATCTTGCGTAAACATGACACGTTGGAAAGACATCTCGTTCTTCAAATTCACAATACCAAAAAAAAAAAAGAAAAGTTAGAATACAGTATTGGATAACAGTAAAGAACAATATGGGGCCTTTTTGAATGGCCACTTTTATTTGAATATAGATCGATCCATGGTTACCATTTGATACAGAACGTGGTATTATTCGAAATCGACAATATCGTATTGATGATCGACCTGGCTTCTATTGTACTGGTTGGATTGGACGAGGAGCTCGAGGTGTTATTGCTGAAACTACAACAGAATGTATGACAAGTTTCAATTCTATTATTAATTTATTATTTTTAATATTTTCTAGCTCATACAGTTGCTAAACGAATTATGGAAGATGTTGAACAAGGTCATTTAACTAATTTACATGATGTTAAATCAGGAGGTGATGGTTTAATAGCACTTGCTAAATCTCGTCAAATTCGATGTATTTCATATGAAGATTGGAAAAAACTAGATGCACATGAAACAAATCTTGGTCATACAAAAGGAAAACCACGTGAAAAAATACTCAATATTCAAAAAATGCTTGAATTAACTGCATCTTAAAAAAAAACAAAAGAGCTCATATTTAAATATTTTATGTATTTGAGCACTTGTTAGGCTTTCTTTTTTTCTTTCTTTTATCTTCCAGATAATATTTTGTTGATTGACAGTACATCAAATAAATAGTTACTTTTTTAGTGTTTAATATCTTTATTTCAGATAAAATAATGTTACGTTTAATACCTTCATTTATTCGACAATCACCTTTCATTATATATCGTTCAGCTAGTCGATCATCAAATTCTCGTTCACATGATGAACCTCGTGTTCGTCTTCATCCAGGAAATCAATATACAGTAGAAGAAATTGCTCAAAATATTCCCAAAGAACGTAAACATGAAATTGAAAAATTATATGAATTTGAAAAACTTGAAATTAATAATCAACCTTCAACACGTGATGAATATCGTCATCATATCAATCGTCTGTATTAGATCATTGTTTTTGCTTTTTTATTTGTAGACAGAAAAAAACTTATTGTTTATTTTGTTTTTTCTCTTCTAGGTGGAAAAACAGGTGTATTTGATTTAGATGATATTGTTCAAATACTTCGTGATGAACGTATGAAAGATATATGTGTTATTGAAATTCCACCAGAACAACAATATGCTCGATATTTAGTATTAGCTACTGCTTTTAGTGCTCGTCATTTGAAAAGTACAAGTGAATATATTAATAAATTAGTAAGGAAGAACACTTCAAATCAAAATAAAAAATTATACAGGATGTCTCAGAAATTATTATGGAAAAAAAAAACTTCGAATATCTCTCTTATATAGAAATCCTTCACAGAAAGTGTTTTTTAGAAATTAAAAAAAAAACAAACAAACTATCATTATGATCAAAACGCGGCGAAGATATTCGAATTTTTATTTTTATAGTGAATTTGAGGACATCCTGTACATATAAATATTTATTATTTAGTATAAAGCTAAAAAAAAACCAAGTGATCCTTACTTAAGTAATGAATGTCGTGATGGTACAAAATGGCATGCTATGGATATGGGTAAGTTTATAGGAAAGAAAATTGTCAAATTAATTCTTTTTTTTTTGTTCATTTCTTAGGTTATATTGTTTTACATTTAATGGATGCTGAAATGCGTGAACAAAATGATCTTGAAACATTATGGTGTGTCGGTCCAAAATATGATGATCAAGTATATACAATACAACAATCATTAGATGAAATTAAAAAAATGGATGAACAATTAAAAGAAGAAGAAGTATTAACAGCTGCTGATAAATATCGACCACTTGATAATCCATATTCACATGTTCGATATCCACTCGAAGGTCCAGGACTATTTCAAGATCCACCACCACGAAAACATATGACATTAAGTGATCTTCCACATAAAAAAAATGTAGAAGAACAAACAAATATTGAAGTTGAAAAAGAATTTATTGATTTACCAAGTGATCCAAAACCACCGGTTTATAAAGGACAAAAAGTTAACTGAATTTCGTTCGTTTTTTTTTGTATAGATATACCTTTTTTTGTCAGTGTAAATGAACGATAGAAAAAAAAAAGAACAAGCCCATTAATTGTTGTTTTAAATACTCAGAAAAGTTTGACTACATGCACTTGTTTTTCACAATTCGAATAACTTTTGCAAGATCTCCAGGAAAATCACGATGAATTTATTAAGGAAAAATTATTTAGAGTCATTATTGTCTTAATGAAAGAATCAACAACAAAAATCATATTTATTAATGAAATATAAAGACCAGAACGATTAATAATAAGTAAAAAAAAGTCCTAATAATAGAGAAAAAAATCAACAGTTATGATTATATGTTAACGAAAAATCTGAACTATAATATTATGTATCAGAAAAAGTTAAGATCAATGATTGATAGTGAATGAGAAAATAGTTTTAAGAAGACCAAAAAACAGACAATCATCATCAGTATATAAATCGAAGAACATGAACAAGAATAAGAACATAATCAAGAATAAGAACATGAACAAGAATAAGAACATGAACACGAATAAGAACATGATGTTTATGAAAAAAACCAATCAACAACACCATAATTATGTTAGTGAAAAAAAAGAGAACGATAATCATATTACTGATGATGATGATGAAGTTTTGGTTGAACATAATGAGTATGTTGATGATGTACAGTTAGATAGATTATTTGACCTATAAATTTAAAAGAAAATAATACTTTTATAGAAAATATAAGTAGATATTACCTTGTGAAAGATAATATATGCACCAAGCGCAATTGTCGATAACGATGTAAGACCTAAAGAAACAGAAATCTAATGACGATCAATTTTTAAAAATATAATGTCATATACCACAAATCATTTTTAACAACTTCAGTTCGTATTGCAAATGATCATTATATTGTTTCAGATCATCATTAGATTGTTTAAGATCATCATTAGATTGTTGAAGAGTAACAATTTGTTCTTGAAGACCATCAATACTAGGCGTGTCAGCGTCCCCGTTCCTCAGCATTCCGTTCCTAGGAACGGGAACGCTTGTCAAAATCGCATTTCCACGCTATATTTCAACATGGCGAGGTCTCTAGACATATTCACTTTTCTTTTTATGTTTGAGTGTTCAACGTTCCCCGTTCCCCGTTCCCAGGAACGGGAAAGGAGTAGCGTTCCCCGTTCCTAGGAACGGAATGCTGAGGAACGGGGTACGTTGACATCCCTAATTTTTATGAAATTGGCTTTCCTTCGGTGAATTAGTAAAATTTCTATTAAAAGTGAAAGAAACGTATGTTGCGTTCCAGTTTCTAGGAACGGGGTAGCATTCCCCGTTCCTAGGAACGGAACGCAAAGTTGACACCCCTAATCAATACATAAATTTTTTTTGTTCAATACGGCCATTAATGAACTTTGATCATCTTGAAGT